TTTCTTATGCAACGCAGGCCCACCTGTCCAGGGATGGCACCACCCACAGTGTGCTGGGTCCTCCCACATCACTTATCAAGAAGATGCCCCTCAGACATGGCCACAGGCCAGTCCAGTAGAGGCAATTCCCCAATTGAGGCTCCTTCAACCCAAGTGTGTCGAGTTGGCACTAAAGCATCCAGCACGTATGTAATAAGCTGTACAGTTTAAGGGAAAGGTCTTTGCTTTCCAGAGCCTGCAAAGCCAACCTGTGAAGGAGACTAAACTTCAAAATTCGTACTTCTAACAGCAAGTGGCACTCACATGGGGCTCTTCCCTTCTAGTCCCACCTCATCCTCCCAACTTCTAAGAGCGGGGCATCTTACAGCCTAGGTCCTCAGCCTCTTTTTTTTCTACCCTCACTCCCTTGATGAACTCATCCACCCATGGCTTTAAACAGCACTTAATTTCTCCCAATTCACAAATCCTTATCTCTAGAGTGATATCTTGAAAACCTGACTTGCCTATCGAACTGTTTGGTGCTTTAAAAGTATCTAGGTCTTGAACTGAAGAGATGGTTCAGTGCTTGGCTGTGCAGGCACGAGGACGTGAGTTTGAATCCCCAGAACCCATGTAAATAACCAGGCAAGGCTGTGCATGTGCCTATCACCCCAGCACTGTAGGGAACGGAGACAGGAGAGTCACGAAAGCCGGCCAGCTGCCAGGCTGCTCTAGGTTCACTGACAGACCTTGGCTTAAGGGTCAAGGTGGACAGGGAAACAGCATGATGCCTGACATCCTCCTCTGTCCTCTGCACAGGGTGGCACAGGTGTGCACGCTTGCACACATACACCACACACAAACACACCACACCACACACAAACACACACCACACCACACATCTCACATACATACACATCACACACCTTACACCACATACACAACATACATATAAACACAACACACACAACACAGTGCACACACATCCACCACACACACCGCACACACATACACCACATATACACATCCACACACATCACACACCTTACACCACATACACAGCACACACATAAACACAACACACACAACACAGTGCACACACATCCACCACACACACCACACACACATACACCACATATACACATCCACACACTACATACACATCATCATATCACACACAAACACCACACTCACACCATATATAAATACCTATATACCACACGCACACCGACAAACACACCACACACACATTCCTGCCTACTGCCCTCCCCCCCGACACACGCCCTTGGATCCTGGTGTATTCTAGCTGACCTCCTGGTCACATTCACTCCGCAGTTAAAGGCGTTCTCTCCTTCCACTGGCTCAGACTGAAAGCTTCAGAATCATACTCATCTCCTCGTCTTCTCTAGTTCCCATCCACCAGACCAGAAAACCCTCCAACCTTAGCTCTAACTGTCCAAGCCACCGTCACCTCCCAGTTAAGTACAGCAGCTAAGGGTCTCCCTGGCTCTGCCCTGCACACCTTTGCTCTGGCCTGAACCCTCTAGCCAGAGTCACTTTAGTTACACCAGGCCATTTTCTGTCTCATAGTCTTCAGTGGCATCTCTTGGGATAAACTGCAGCACTCTGTCCTGCAAGGACCCTTGCTGTCTGCACACCACACCTGTGCCTTCCACGCCTCATCCAGTAACCACCTCCTGTGTACCCTCCACTCCAGCCACTGTGGTAAGCCAGGTGTAGTCTGAATGCCCTCCACTGTGACAGCAAGAAGCTCAGTCCCCAAGGTCACCTTCTGGATACCTCACGCACATCCTATAGAAGGTCACAACCTCTCCTCTCGCACTCCCCACCTCCCTTCCTCCTTCATTTCTCCTCCTCCGAAGTTCTATTTTACTGTCACTAGTGCAAATCTCAGAAACTGTAGGGACTATGACTGATGTTCACTTCTGTGTCCTGAGGGCTGAGAGCATCACTTGGCACACAAGAAAGCACTCAACAGATAATAGTTCAGAGAAGGAATGAGGAAAGGATGAACGATTAAAGCAGGCTTCCTGGACTCCCAACACGCTCCTAAACATCTATACCTTTGACAGTGATGGACAGGCAGCCGGCAGCATACACCACACACAAAGTACCAGACCTGAGGTTTAATCTCGAGTCCAAACAACAGTGGGAACGGGCAGAAATATCATCATGGATGGCATTTTAAAAGCAAGTCTGGAGCTGGAGAGAGCCATCAGTGGTGAACAGCACTTCCTGCTCGTCCAGAACACCAGAGTTCAGTTCCCAGCACCCACATGGGAGGCTCTTAACCTTTTCAACTGTCTCATTCCTAGGTAACTACTTGACAGCAGACTTCAGAAGGAGAAGTCACACCTTAATGCTCAGATCAGGAACATCAAATGTAATCTCCCTTCAGCTAAATAATCTTTGAAGAGGGCAACGCACCTTTACCACCTTACAACGCACTTGCAGCGCTCTGTGAGCTTTTACTTGAATAAAAACTGTGAACCCGGCTGTCAAGATCTGTATCACGTCTTCATTTCCATATTCATAAACTATGAACTCCACGAACTGAGTTACACCTTCAGTCCCTGAAATCTTGAGACTGTATCAAAGTCCACTCAGTAACAGCTTTGAAGTGGAGAATCTGGGTAAAGCAGTAAGCAGAGATGGCTCAGTGGGTAAGGGCACTTGTCATCGGTCTTGACTCCCTGAGTTTGATCCCCAGTACCCATACGGTAGAAGGAGAGAGCCGACTCCTACAAGTAGTCCTCTGACCGCCACACATATTCTGTGTCACACATGCCCACACACAATCAATCAATAAAAATCAAGAGAGAGAATCTGACGAAACTAATTCTAGAAGTCACTATTATCTCAGTTGACTACTATTATATCAGGAAATGAAGGGCCACATGCTCTAAGATGAAGCCAAGCTCTTCAGTAGCAGGCTTGACGAAGTACCAGGCTAGCACACAGTAATATTCAACCAATGTTTGCTGAAGGAAATTAATCTTAAACTAATTGGACGAAAGAATTGAACAGAAAATGTTCTTAGAAAAAAGCAGATCGAAGCATGTGCAAATTTCCATCCAAATAGACTTTGACTTTAGTGATCAGTTTTGTTTGACATGGTTTGAAATTTGTAAGACAGTTAAGAGAGAACATTTGTAACCATCACCAATTCACTGTAAAAGCTAATAATACTACCTCTGACTATATGTTTACAGATGCTTAGCCATCTGTTAGGTTTTTTAATACAGATATGCTCTCGGGGGTGGGGTTCTGTTGTTATCTGTGGTGCTAGCAAGTGAGCACAAGGCCTTATGCATGCTAGGCAAGAGCTCTACCACTGAGCTAGATCACCAGCCCTCCATATATGCATCTTTACAGAAATATTTCCAAGGCTGGAGAGACGTCTCAGTGGCTAAGAGCATATCCCGTTCCTACGGAGAACCAGAATTTGAGTTCCAACACGGGTGCCAAGCAGCTGACAATGGCTTTTAACTGCAAATCCAAGGGATCTGACTCCTGTGGTCTCCAAGAGCATCTGCATGCATGTGCACATACACACAGACACACAAAACACATAATTTTTTATGCACAGAATTTAAAAGATAAAAATAAATATTTGAAATATATATATATATATATATATATATATGTATATATATAAAACAACTAACTCTATGAGGTCAGCATTAGGACGCCTACTTTACAGATGGCAAAATTCAACCCAAGGAGATAAGCAACCTGGCCAAGATGTCTCAGTCAGTAATTGCCTGGGCTGCAACTCACTCCAAAGTCTGTGTCTGAACCTCTGAGTCCAACACTGGGTGGCCATAAAAAGAAATTCCAACACTAACTTCAGACAGGTAGTGCCCTTGTTAAGAATACTATACTCTCTGTGTCCAGAAAAATATCCCAGCAAAGAAACTTTCAATGAAATGTAAGGAACTCTGGATCTCCATAGAACAGGCTTTGCTGAAAGCATGCTCCACAGCACTCAAGCAAAGTCATAATTAATTCTCTTTAAGGTCTCAATGTCAGTACCTCCCTGGTTGAACAACTTGAAGATAAACTTTATAACAAAAGATCTCTCTAAATTTTAGGAGCAATCAACAAAGCATTGGATCGCAAGCTAAGGGATTTCAGAAGTTTGTCTCGACCTTCATTTACAGAAGCAAACAGAAGTCCTGGAAGTAATGTGTGTAGTCTACACACGCAGAACTACACAAACCATACTTTTTTACTTAAAACAGAATAAAGATCTTTCCAATTCTCAGTTCATCTCTTTGAACAAACTCTAGAAAGCAAACTCTGATTTTCCGGAGAAAAGCCCTGCTTCAACAAGCACAGGACATACTGTACAGAATTAGCCTTTTATATTACCAGTAGGACCATGAAAATTTTTTAACTGCGTTCTCGGAGATGAGCAAAAACGAACTATAAGACTTTTTAAAAAAGGAATATAAGACTCCTTGACCACTACAAACCTTGTACCGGCCATGTAGATTAAAGAAATCTGCAGGCCCTTTGGCTCCTGAATTGCTAAACTTTCCATTCTAATAGAACTCCTGGTACTTTGTACTGACACCCTGTCATTAGAAATTCATTTACTTGTAGCCACTTGTGGATTCTGCTTATCAAAATGAACTGTCAAAGTGAAAATTAATAATGTAATGCAAACCATGTAAGTTCTGTTAAAACAGATTATCCACCATGGTATTCAAGAAGAAAATCAACCATGAATAAATAGGGCATTGGACTGTTGGATCTATTGGACCCATCATTCCATAAAAACATAAGTGTACATAAATCCATATTCATTAGCTATTGAAGGGCACGCTGTAAAATTAATAAAACTTTATCAGCTACACCAAATCATCACCCCCAACAAGGAAGCATGAAGTCATAAACCATTTGGTCTGGGGACAAACCAAAACAAGGAGACAATCCTCCATTAAAGTATGAAGTCCAAAGTAAAAGGCTTGTAGAGTGTCTGACAAGAAACGTACCTTTTTTCAGTCACAGAATTCGCAGTCATCAAACTGTAATAATCCACAAATGGCAAGCCTTGTCAAAAGTCCCAATAATTTCACTCTGGTAGCTCCAAAGGAAGAAGTTGGTGGTATCCGATACAGGGGTGACTTGCTGGGGTCCTGGCAAATCCATGTCACTCAAATCTATGTCACTCACGGATATGCGTGTATGTTTATATATCCAGCACCAGGGAGTACTCAGCAACCACATGACACTTGGAGATTCCAGTAAGGCCACCTATACAGTTGGAATTCATTACAGTTAGCTTCCCACAGTCCGTATACACCCTAAAAAATAGTATCTGTCCTCCTAATACATTTCTGCCTTTGACACGAAAACTCAAAACTTCGAAGCTCTTGTACCTTGAAGAATGGAAGCTTTGAGAAGTTAGAGCACTATTTGGGTGTTTCCTTGAGTTATTAACAATGCATTTGGTTCGATGTTTGTCTTGACAAAAGTGAATCCGTCCAAGACTGAAGAAAGCCTCCAGCAATTGGGAACACAAAAGAGGAAAGAGTGGAGAGGTAATAAATTACCTTGGTATTTGGATGGATCCCACAAAACATACCTGAAGATAATAGCCTGGCTCCGTGTTGCAGAATCAGGACACATTCGCAACGTTTAAAGACATCCTAAATGCTGAAGCAAACATTTGCCGGATTTCTACAAACCCCCAATTTAGATCTCCAAGATATCTTTTTTCACTATTATCATTATTAAACAGGTGACTGGTAGAGATAAACAACTTCTGGAATGAGGTGGGAAAACAATGAATGAATTCATACAAAGTGAAGATGTTGAGTAGCTGAGCAAGAACCAAGCCAGAAGCATTCCAAAGTTAAGGGGCTTGGGTAACAAAGTTAGGAAGCCTCCCTTCCTCAATAACGGGAGGGAACCGCAGGGCCTCCCCTAGGAGCCGAGACTCCAACAGCCATCCCTCTTTTGGGCGGGCGTGGCAGATAGAAACAAAAGCTTAAAACACAAAGGGCGGGGCGGAGGGCTAGGTCAGGGGAAGCTGGGCTCAGCTCTCTGTCCCCTTACTATGCAAACACTGAAATAGGACCTGGGTCTCCATCACCGAAGTGAGGATGGATCCTGAAGATAGCAATGGGTCATTCAGAGTGGGTCGTGAAACAACCAGGCCTACGGTGGGTAGCGGACTTTTAACTGATGGTCCAGGCCCCATCGCTTCTTCTCGCTAACTCTGACAGTCTGGAACCTGTGGCTTCCTCCACCGGACCCCAGCCCCTAAGAAAACTTCCCAAACTTTTATCTGCTTGCTGGAAGCCCCTTCCCACCCAAACCCCTCCGGCATTCTATTGTTGCAAGCTTCTTGCGTCGTACATTGGGTCTCCAAAGCGCTTTGCAGACACTGAAGTTTTAAACCGCCTGAGGAAATGACCCCCCCACCACCACCACCTCTCTGTCTCTTCCTTTTTCGTGACCAAAGTCTGGGCTGGGGTGGGGGTGAGCCTGATCATGTTCCATATTTTCATCTACGCACAACTAGGGGAAAGCGAGGCAGTGCCCCGTTTGGATGCCCTTCTCCCCAAACCCCTCACATAAAGACGCACTGAGATGAACGCGTGCTTGGGCTTTGCCTATTTCTCTAAAAAATAAACAAGTAACAATCTGTGCAAGAGCCTTAAAGAACAAAAGAAAAAGGGACCCGGGAGAAGAGGCACCCAAAAAAGCCAAACTTGACCACTGGATCTACGACTGTGCCCCGGGAAGGGCGAGGGCAGGACGACCTGGGGGGAGCGAGGGTAAACGGGACACCTCCACTTACCTCTTCCACTTCGTGGCACTTTAAAGGGGCACCGCTTCCATTGTTGCAGCCTGGGAGGCGCTGGGACACTTTTTCGCAGCCTGACAGCGGAGAAAGTCGCGTTGGCAAAGTTGCAGAGAGGGAGATACCCCCGCGTCCCGGGGAGAGGGGAGAAGGAGTTCAGCAGAGTTCCCCCCTTTTGTTCCAAGTCCCGGAGCAGACAAAGAGGCGGAGAGCGCCGGCAGGTTTCTCCCTCTCACCCCTTCTTCCTCTCTCCCTCCCCTCTCTCCCCGCCCCTCCCTCTCCCCGCATCTCCCGCCTGGCTACCGAACCTCCGTGCGCTGCGCAGCCGGCCGCTGGGTCTCCTAGAACTCTCAGCTCAGCCCCTGCCTCCTCTCTGGCAACTTTTGTTCTGGAGATGCGAGTCCCATCCCCTCCCGGGCCACCCTTAGAGCACTCGGCCTTCCCATCGCTCTCACGCCTGGGGGAAATCTCCAAACTCATTGTTTCCGGGAGATGCACCTCTTTGTTTGCACTTTCCCTGCCAATCAGGGAGAGCGGTCCACTTTGGCAACGAGTTTCCGCCAGTTTCTCTGCATCCAGAGACAGAAAAACGCAAAGGGGTCGGGGTCAAGCAGTGAAGGGGAGAGGCGCTGGCACAATCGGAGGTGTGGCACCCAGGAGCCTCTCCATCCAAGTCCTCCACTTTGGTTAACCGTCCTCCACCCAACGTGCCAGAACTACTCAAAGGGGCTCTTAGTAGTGGAAAACTCTGCTCTCCCTCCCCCACCCATGCCCACCCGCTGTCCGCTGGAAAAGCCCTCAAATGCGCCAGGCAGAGGAAGAGGGGTCCTTCCGGGACTTCCAGCCCTTCCAGGATACCTGTTGCTGCAGGCAACTCATTCCAAGGGGCTCTGCGGGTGTTCCCAGCTCCAGCATCTAGACCACACTCTCAGACCCCCCCCCCGCCCACCACCCCGAACTTTCTTTATCTCAAACTGCGATGCCAGACTCTGGATAACCACATTCCCTGGCACCTTCAGGCCAAGCGCTCCTCATCGGTCCCCTCCCTATACCACTACCTGGCCCCCCTCAAATCTAGCTCCCTGTCCTCTACCCCCAGGGTCTGGGGACCCCAGCCCAGTATCCCCTCCCCCTCCCCCACCGCCTGGTCCTTCCCCAAGTCCTTTATCTCAAACTGCGATGCCAGACTCTGGATAACCACATTCCCTGGCACCTTCAGGCCAAGCGCTCCTCATCGGTCCCCTCCCTATACCACTACCTGGCCCCCCTCAAATCTAGCTCCCTGTCCTCTACCCCCAGGGTCTGGGGACCCCAGCCCAGTATCCCCTCCCCCTCCCCCACCGCCTGGTCCTTCCCCAAGTCCTTTGCCAACTGCCCTTCACTTCCAGAACTGGGGACCTTCATCCTCACCATCCCTCAGCCCTGGAACCTCATCCCAACACTGCGGACTTCGCTGAGGGACTCGGAGCAGAGCTAATTTTCTCTCCGCAATGCTCTAGAGTTGAAGAAGAATGCAGGGAGGTGGGAGAAAGCGGAGGGAGGAGTGGCCGGTGTACGGAGGCAGTTTCTAGGGCAAAGGAAAAAAACGGCACCCAAACATTCCAAGCAAACTCCCACCCTCCGGCTGGTACCCCAATCCTCTGCGCACCTCGGTATCTGCACTTTCCTGTCTCCAAGCCCAGACTTGGGGGTCTCCTCGGGCTGAGAACTTTGAGGGTGAAGATGTGGGGTGAAAGGAAACTGGGGACTTAATGAAGAGCTGTGTTCCCGGCTAGGATGGGAGATGCGGAGGGGAGTGAGGGACCCTTCCTGGGTCTGGAATGTCTCCGGGGTGGATCCGGGCACTCGCCCCGCGAGTGTTTGCCAGGTCTGTCCCCCAGTGCGGAACAAAGACAGGAGGAGGCGTCTGTCCTCCCTCTCAGGGTCCCACCCAGCCCAGTGTTCCCTCGCAAGAGCCCACGGTGCTCTCTGGGAAACTTTGTGCCCAACTTCCCCTTGAGTTAGTGCGCGTTGTTCCCCAGGCCCGAAGAAACCCGGACAATGGCATCCCAGGATCAGAGATGCCCTCTCCCGGGTCGGTTCCCGGGTCTGGTCTCCACCCGCGTGCTGGGCAGCCGAGCACGCCCGGTCCGCCGGTCACCTTGAAAAGCAGCTTCAGTTTGGGCCCCTGCTGGGTCTGGAATGTCGCGCGCTAGGTGGAGGCATCTACCGGAAAAGGTGGCACGGAGATAAAGCGGCAGCTGCGAGGGCGGAGGGCGGCGGCTCGGGCTGTGCAGGAAGGAGGCCCAGGGTGCCGGCAGCTCGGGGACCAGCCGCGCGGGTCCCGCCAGGATTCCGCTCACGGGATGGGGCCGGGGATGCCAGCACCACAGGGCCACGGGTGAGGACCAGGAGCCCCGCACCTGCGCAGCCTCCTGGGTGGCCACTTAGCCTGGAAACCTGGAGAGCTTCATCTTAGGGTGATGAAGCTTAGGAGCCTTGACCACAGCACAACCAACCACGAAGAGGAAACACCCTCTACCCACTCCTTTCTGGAGCATTCTCCCTTTGTCTAATTATGATGAACTCCGGAATTCTGAGGAATATATCGGCCGCTCCCCCCTCCCCCCGACAGATTAAACCTTCCCTTCCCCAAGTCGCGAAAGAGCGGGTCATTGGAGGCAATTCCATGAAGCTGCTTATGGAAAACACTTTAAGTTTGTAGAGTAAGTCAACTGATACAGTTTCTAATTTCAAAATAACATCCAATTCTCCAGTTTCCTTGCACTGTACTAGTCCGGTGTTTAAAAGATTGCCAATCCGGTCTCCTGGTGTACACACTGCTTTCCCAGACCCACATCCCCAAGGCTGTGGTTCGTTTATCCCCACCAGACTCAACCCTTGGGAGACTGAGGAATTAGGATCCCTGTGAGTTCAAGGCTGGCTTGGGTTGCAGAATGAGCTCCAGGATAGCCTGGCTACATAGTGTAGACCTTGTCTTTGGGGAAAAAACAAAAACAAACAAACAAAAAAAATTACCAACCCTTTGAGAGTATTTACTCCTTTCTCATGGGAAGAGTGAAGGTCTTTTGCTAAATGAAAAAGTCAGTATGACCTTAAGGTTTCTCCTTGCTGTCTATTTATGAAATACTCCTTGGAAATAACTCTCTTGCCCAGCCTGCTTGTAAAGAAGTGAGTTCTAAGACTCTCAGAAGCCCCTATCTGTGTGCCAAAGTCAGCTCCTGGGTAGGGCTGTGTAGACCTGTTCATTGCTATGTTTTAAAAGGAAGCCATATTTTCTTAGGCACCACATTTCAAGTACTTTTAAATGATAAGGCAGGGAGTAGTGGTGCACACCTTTAATTCCAGACACTGGCAGGTGGATCTCTGTGAGATGGAGGCCAACCCAAGGGGATGACCCCACTATGTGACACTGCTGGAGCTATGGGTCACAACTCTGACAGTGACGTCATCTAACTACATGTCTCTCCCTTTCTGCTCCTGAAATGAAGAGCTCCAGCCCTCAAACCCACTGTGGTTGGTACACACAGGCAGGTCACAAGTGCCAGGCAAGGAAGCCTCAGAGCAGTGCTCATCCAGAAGTCAGTGTAGCATATTCCAGCTTCCTCCCTGGGAGGTAGGACTATGACCGACTCTACAGTCTCCAGAACTATGGTGCGCTCCAGTCTCCCTGAGGTCACTGATTTTAAGTCCTAGTTAGCTGGAGCAGTCATCTCTGTGTTGATTTACTCATGCCCTCTTCCATCCATCCTTTCCTTCCTTCCTCTCTACTTACTGATATCCTCACTCTCTCCTTTCCTAGTCCCTCTGGAATCACTGCTCAAATAGACTACAGGATCTGCTACCAAATCCTACTCTCACAATTAGCTTCCTGGGGAATTCAGCATAAGAAACCTTTCATATATAATCTATTTCATTTTACTATTTATTTTATTATTTGTTTGTTTGCTGCTTTTATTTTCTGAGACAGGGTCTCCCTGTAGCCTCTACTGGCCTGGAACTCGCTATGTAGACCAGGCTGACCTCCATCTCACAGAGATCTGCTTGCCTCTACCTCTTGAGTACTGGGATTAAAGACATGCGCCACCAGCTCAGCACAAATGGTCTTTCTATAGGGAAGAATTCATTCTGTTTGGAAACTGAAGATAGAAGATCGCATTTTCCCTAGCAGGGAAGTTATTTAGGTGATGACAGATGTTTAGAGTTATCCACTTAATCATCTATGCAATAGTTTAAGATCAGCTATATTGCACTGAGACAGAAGTAGAGAATAAATAGAAGCACATCTCAAACGTGAAAGTTTTAAACAAAAACTAACGGGTATAAACAAGTTCCTTCAGTCTAATGAAAGCAGCCAGCAACGCAACAGGAAATACTAACTAGAGAAACCTTTTTGAAAAATGAATTCTAAGTAACAAATCAAAGGGGAGGAGTGAGAATGTAGCTCAGTGGTAGAGCAGCAAGTGCTTGGCGTGCAAAGTGCTGGGCTCAACCTCCTGTGCCACCCAGAAGAGGAGGGAGAGGGAGAGGAGGAGGGAGAGGAAGAGGGAGAGGAAGAGGAGGAGGGGGAGGAAGAGGATGGGGAGGAAGAGAAGGGGAGGAAGAGAAGGAGGGGGAGGAGAAGGAAGAAGATGAAGATGAAAAGGAGGAGAAAAAAAGGATGAGAAGAAGGAAGGGGGGAAGAAGGTGGCTTTTGATGGAGACTCAGATGAGTGTGAAGGGACAATAAGCAATTAGGATGACAAGCCTGAGACCCCCAGGCTTTCGGCAAACTTCTCAGGGCACAAAAGTCAACTGTTCCAACATATTTTATAAAACGATACATTGAATCTCATTTTCCGATTAGCCACTGTAATGAACAAGTCATCAAATATCCACATGATTATCAGCCTCTAACGCCCTCCTTAGCTCTAGAACTTTCTATCACCTTGAGTCAAATAGTTTCAAATGACTGAGTTGTGTGTGTGTGTGTGTGTGTGTGTGTAGGCATTTGTACCCAGGTGCTCACATGGGGAGCAGAGGACAACTTTCAGCAGTTTGTTCTTGACATCTACCTTCTTTAGAAGCAGAGTCTCTTGTTTCTGCATCTGACCCATGAGCTTCTGGCCAATTCTGTCTCTACCTCCCATATTGCTTTAAAAGTGCTGGGACTGCAGATGTGCAACATGGCATCAAACTTGTTTTTAAATGACCAGATTTCCTCAGCAAGCCCTCTTACCTGCT